TGCATACACTGAGCGTAACTGCAGTCACTGGGCCTGCTCCTAAGAATTGCTGAACATCCGTAACTCCTACTAACATGAGTGGCACCACGGAATGCTCAGCATTCCTGAGGCTGAAAGTTAACAAAAAGCACCAAGTATTACAGACTTAAAAGTGCTTTGTTTGAGTTAATAAATGGGAAAGTGTGTTTAATCTTAAACCAAATAAAGTTAGTTGTCAGTATACATTTTTTTGCTGTGATAGAATAAATGTTTACTTATCCTACAAAGCACAAATATCATTACAGAGTTGTAACAGTGTGATGCGGTTTCTCTGTACAGTAGTTCTTAGTGTTGCAGTTTATTCAGAAATAAATTTGTTATACTGTGTGTCCTCTTGGCCTTTTTTTGACATATTGAATAATATTTGCCTGCCATCCCTGTAGCTTTCTCTGCTTCTCAATGAAAAACCTGACCCATGGCCCTGACCAAAACAAGGCAGAGCTCAGTAGCAAAGCTACGGCTTTACTCAGGTCCCACAGTTCATTCAAGTGAGACAAAGCTAATCATATAATTCTTAGTATCACAGCAAAATAAAGGGAAATTATATGTTCATTGCCAGGAATTAACCCCAGCATAATTCTCAACGCACCAAATCTCTTATTAGTGCTCACTCTGGCTGCTTTCAGTACCTGCAAAAGTGGCGTGGGGAGATAGAAGTTCAAGAGTCTCTTCTGCTTGTTTGCACAGCTATTTCCTGCGCTTCTGCCTAGCTGTTAGGGTATTTCTACTGCTAAACAGAAGAGGAAACCAACACTTAGCTGAGTAAATCAGAACAGGACTTGTCCACCACTAATAAAAGCTAAAAAAAATTCAAGTCAATTTTAAATACACATATGTGAGGACTTCATACTGCATACAATCTTAGGTAAAAGTCTCAGAGTAAATTATGTGCAATTCAGTCTCTCTGTATACATGAGCATGATGCAGGTTGTTAATATCATGAGGGCACAGAGACAGGCTGCTCAGTCTTTCCCAATACAAAAGTGCTCACTGCCCAAAACAAAAGCTAGGACCCAACAAAAGCAACTTGTAGGAGCCAGATACAAAGCAAACAAAAAGAGGTGACACATCATCAAATGAGAGGATGCAAAACTTCTACATAGGTGCAAGTGGGAGCTGGATAAGTACTTGAAAGAGATGCACCACAATTTACTAAAGATGACAAATCCTGTGAGCCTCAGGAGATGCCCTGGCCATCGGAGTCCACCTGTGGGAGCAGCAGACACATTTGCCTCAGCCCCTGCTGCAGCACTGTTCCCAGCCAGGGCAGCTGCGCTTACCTCTTTACTCTGCAGGAAGACTTCAGGGAAAGGTGCTGACTCTACCACCCACCTCATGAAGAGCAGAATTTGACCTGTAGATACATTAATTCTAACACAGGAGAGTTACCTATTGAAAAATAAGTATTTAAAAACTTAATTTTTAGTTTAGTTTTGTTTAAGTTGCTGGGATCATTACAAGTTGAAAAACTATACTCAATTCTGTCATAACATTGAAGATTTTTATAGTGTCTTTAAGTAAAGTAACCACTTTATTATGGTTTTAAAACCATAATATTATGGTTTAAACAAGCTGTCATCTGTTTAGTTAGCCTAATAAATTGAGCAGGTAACCTTTCCGGAGAGGCTGACTTTACTGTTTCTCTTACCCATTTTCATGCAGAGCTGCACGACAGATGAGAAAGGAGTATCACCATGAATCCTGCACTCTGACATCAGGGAGAAAGCCTCACCACTCCATTGAACTAAAGAGCTCTCATGAGCTAATTAATCAATAAAACAAATTCCAGCTGAGAAGGAAAGCACATCCATACTAGCCAATTTAAAGTTTTTAATTCAAGGCAGAGCCATTCCTAAGCCTTTGCCAAGTATGAGGAAAATCATAATGCCACTACTTCAGTTTTTCAAACCCACTCTATAGCCAGTCATCATGAGCAACAGGCCCTCAGAAAGCAACTTGCAACTGTACAGTGTTTAGAAGGACAGTTAAATTAGATAGCTGGACTAGCAAACTAATTAAAACAGCTTCAGCTGAAAATTAATAAGGTGCAGCAAACTAGAAAATATAACCAAGCAGGATATATTTCATATCCTTTCACTAACTACCCAGGAAATGCAAGTGATCACACAGAAGGAGCCTGTTCAGGAAAGAATTTGAATCTCAAGAGATATAAAAAAGCATGTGTTAAGAGTCCAAGTACACATCGTATGCTCACATGGAAATCCTCATCCTCCTTTCTGTCCTTTAGAACTCTGAATCCTTCCAGTATATTCCTCTGTGAATATAGAATACAGCAAATATGATTTCTGCTGGGACAGTCCATACTAATCACATTTCAGGAGTCCCTTGAGATGACAGGCATTTTTGTTTCTTCATTTACACTCAAGGATGCTGGCAAGCACTCAGAGAACATCAGAACACACCAGCAGTCATAACTTCCTATTAAATTTACCAGCATCTAGAAGCCAAGTCCATAACCACCCAGAGATATAAAATATAAACAAAATACCTTCAAATTCACTTTCTGCTGCACATTTCCTTTCTTCAGTCACCACACATACTTTGTTGCACCCTGCTCTCTTTGTCTATTCACCCTTCCAAGGCTGCTGGAAGAGACCAGTTTGCCCCGCTCCTTCACTATTCCACTGCAAAGAGCAACTGCAGCTTCAGGTGCTCTGCTAGGAGGTGGGAAGAGCTCTGCATAGGTGAATCCCATGGGCTGCTGCTCGCAAAAGGTAAACCTGGGTTACAGTTCATTGTATGGCAGTAAAAACATTGTACGAATTCCTCATCCACTTTTCAGTTTACGTCATGATCCTTAGCTCCAAATCTTTGGCATGCAGAGTTTCCTCATACTGGCTATAATGTTTGGGTCAGGACTTAGAATTGGAGTCATCACTATCGTGGTTTAGGCCCAATGCATAACTGAGCACCACAACACCCCAAAAAAGGGGCTAGTCAAAATAAGGACTGGGAGGGCTTCACACCACTTAAAAAGGTCACAGGCAAAAGACAGACTCATCATAAGGAGAAAAAGCAAAACAATTTTAATTTGTTACCAACATCAGAGTAGAACAATGGGAGATACAACCAAACCTTAAAGTCAAAACACCTTCCCCCCACCCCTCCCTTCTCCCCGGGCTCAGCTTTTGTTCCCGGTTTCTTCACCTCCCTGGTCCCCAGAGTCACGACTTCTTCAGGGACAGCCACTGCTCATGGGGCCCTGCCCCACCAGTGAATGCTATGGGCTGCAGGCAGTCGACCTGGCTCTCGCCACAGGTTGCAAAAAGGGAACCTGAGCTCTGCATCCTCCTTCTCCCCCCCTCTCCTTTTCTTTCCTTCAACCAACCGTGGTGTTTTTTTTAAAAAAAGTTTTTATCCTCGGCCTCCATTCCTTTCTCCACTACAGGTCTCTTCTGACTGTTCTGAAGAGTTCCCAGCACACTCTCTCTCTCTTTCGGGCTAGAGCTGCAGTGGGGCTTAAGCTTAAGTTGGGCTCAGGTGGGGTCGGGGCCGAAAGAGGGGGAGCTTTTCAGGTAGCTTCTTAAAGGGCCATCTCCATAGCCCTTCCACATTACCAAAGACACAACCAAGAACCACTCATAGAAAACCCAATACAATCACCCACATTTATTTTATTTTTTTTTACCTCAGATGAAAAGAGAAGAATGAATGGAAAGATGTGGGCAAGTATGAAAGGAGGCTGATTAGGAGCTTAAGTACAGCATGCATGCAACAGGTAACAGCAATGCAGTTCATGAATGGTTGCTGGTTTTCCCCAGAAATATCACAGAATGACAGAATATGAGGAGTTGGAAGGGACCTTGAAAGCTCATCCAGTCCAACCCCTGCCAGAGCAGGATCACCAGACCAGGTCACACAGGAACACGTCCAGGTGGGTTTTGAATGTCTGCAGAGAAGGAGACTCCACAACCTCTCTGGGCAGCCTGGCCCAGTGCTCTATCACCCTCACAGTGAAGAAGTTTTTCCTCATGTTCACATGGAACCTCCTATGCTCCAGCTTGCACCCATTGCCCTTTGTCCTGTCATTGGGCATCATAGAGAAGAGCCTGGCTCCTTCCTCCTGACACTCGCCCTTTACAAATTTATAACCATGAATGAGGTCACCCCTCAGTGTCCTCCAAGCTAAAGAGACCCAGCTCCCTCCATCATCTTTGTGGCTCTGTGCTGAACTCTTTCAAACAATTCCCTGTCCTTCTTGAACTAAGGAATCCAGAACTGGACACAATATTCCAAATATCAAGTGGAAGGTTAGGGAAGTAGTGAAACTGGCATTTTAACTCGAACCTTAATTATATAACAAAATATAAAACACAAAAGTACTCAGAACAAGCATATAATAACACCCCTTTCACACCTGAGAGTATCATAATACTATTTTTTATTAAAAGGGTTACAAGGAAAAAATTACATACAAAGAAAAGGGGCCATCCTACCAGATTCATTCCCACTAATCATGATTTCTCTCAGGTGACTGAAATAACAGATGCAGACTCTTCTAGGCAGTATTCAGTGAAAAGCCAACATGCACAAATTGAAACACAAGAAAACATTCCATTAAAATGTAACACACACAGACAAAAAACCCTTTTTTTTTTACTGTGGGAGTGAACAAACACTAAGCAGGTTGCTCAGAGAAACTCTGGAGTCTCAGTCCATGGAGATATTCAAAACCAGCTGGATATGGGTCTGGGCAGCCTGCTTAGTTGACAATGCTTTGAGCATGAGTGTTGTAGATCCCTTCCAACTTCTATTATTTCATGATTCTACGATCCATATGTACCAGACATTAGCAAAGTCAAACCCATCGCTATCTAGGTAACTTGTCTACTTCAGCTGAACAAAGAGGGTAAATGAAAATAGATCTGAAAGACTGAATTTATTTACTATGAAACTCAAGAAGCAGGCATATACCAAACTGGATCTTTCCTTGCCTTCAGTCAGTGCCATATTCTACAGGTGTTATCCTTGCTTCCTAATAATAAAAACACATTATGAGGCAATCATTTAGCTGTATCACACAATTTACCCATTTTTAACACATACATCAAAAATCTACCTGGAATGCTTAGGAGCCAGAGGAATATATTTCTGTCCATGACTAGGAAGAGACAGCAGGATCTACAGCAATATTTTTAGCTGGACTACCATATTTTGGTAGTCCAGACAAAATATCACAAAGTGATCACAAATACTCTGTTTCACATTTCCCACTCCCATGATTTTTTGTCTGAAGCAAATGAAACATGAACAGAATGCAGGGCCAAACGCACCAAAGGTTTGCTCTCATTTAAAAAGCTTTGTATTTTGCTCATCCAGACCCCCCACTCCACAATGTGTTGTGAGAAAATGGCTTAGTCACTGGTCTGGGGCTAGTACCTGCCCATATGACAGATGATGGGGTGTGCCCATGAGTTTATACAAACTTGTTTGTGGCTGTATTTACTTAAGGCTCAGTTCCAAAGTGAGTTTCCAGCTTTTCTTGGCTATATTTTAAATCACTGCTGGTACCTGCATTTGTACTTTTCTGATTTTTTTTTTTACCATAACAGCATTTTAAATGTCTCTCTTTAAAAAAAAAAAGTATATATATATATTAGTTACCTGTAATAATTATATCACCTTTGTAATTGAAAACACAGGAGTGTATCTCACCAGTGTGACCCTCTAATATCTGAAGGCAATGTCCAGTAGCAGCATCCCAGAGGCGAGCTGTTTTATCATAGCTAGCTGTTAGTATACGACTCCCTTTAGGGTTGAAACATATCTTTAAAAAAATATAGAAAAGAGTTATATTACTTAGCAAGTCAATACGCATAGAAAAAGAAGCATATCTAGTAATTAAAAAGTGAAAACAGAGACCAGCAACTCTTACATGCAGTTTTCAGCTAAGATTCAGAATAGTGTTCCACTAGAGTCACTCTGGCAAACTTCTATGGCTGAAAACTTTTCTGTATGTACAAAGGTCTATACACAATGACCTTACTGCAGGATCAAGACTTCAGAATATTATCCCCCAAAATCACAATTACTCTACAACTGTAACAACCTCATTTAAACATTACAATTATTCCAATGTAAAATTTATACATATTTTACAGAGTTCTACATTAAATAACATCTCTGCAAAACTTCCACTGAAAGCAACTCATTTTGTAATATGTCTTCATATTTGTTAAGCAATCATTCCCAGAATTGCATGCATTTCCAGATAATCAAACATACGTTTTTATAGCACTAACTGGCCAATAACAGGTTTATTGTATAATGCAAAATTACTTAATTACTGATGGCAAAATGCCTGTTCTCCAGAAATCAGATTTCCAAGTAATAACTTTCCCAAGTGGTCACAGCTACACAGAACATCTGCAGAAATTCAATGACTTTTCAGCATGCTCCCAGATAAGCAGATTCCCACTTCCAGCAAAGAAATCATGGCACCACTAAGGACTCTGACGGCAACTGTCCCTAACCTGCCCACAGGCCAGCATGTATGCAGACTGCATTCCTCAGTGCATCTACACTGAGTGTGAATATTAAGTGAGGAAAGACTAACCCTTCTGAACTTAAAACTCTCTCAGGGGAATTACTATGCTAGCCAAATTAATACAATGAAAATAAGTGAGTTTTGTTCACTAAGAACCATTCCAGTTTCAAAATATTACTATTTCAATTACAAAATGCAACAAACAAAAACAACACAGACTTAGCATACTAGCCTGGAAGCTAGTGAAAACTATCCTTTTGAGAGAATAATGGAAAGTTGCAAGTATTAAATAAGAAAATTTGAAAATAGGTACAATTTTGGAAGTAACTAAATGTATTTGGAATTAAACTTTGGCATTCAAAGTTGAGCCAGACGAGATTTCCAGCAAAGCACATGACCTCAGAACTCATGACCAAATTAATTTTTAAACAAGCGTTATGTTTCCAATTCCCTTGTGCACTTCTGAAGAGAGATGGCTCTTGGTGGAACCTATAGGAGTAGCACATCCTGTATTATCTTAGCTCAGAAGTTGGGAGTTGGAAATAATCATTGGTATCTTTACTAAAAGAACATTCCTGTCGACTAAAAGATAACTTCTTATCTTAAATACTGATAATTTTACCACCACATTCTTTAACAGTATTCCTGTGTCATGGAATAACTGACGGATTGGATGTCGCACAATCAAATAAGAAAAGATCCAAACTACAACTTACCTTCGAAATTTCACCTCCATGCCCTTCTAGCTTTGCAATGCACTTTTTTGTTTCTGCATTATAGACTCTTGCTGATCCTGTTGTAGTAGATTAGGAAGTATTTGTGAGTTATGCTTAAGCAAGCATTTCAATAAGAACATTTTAGTAAGGTCAGAGTGGCCTCATACTCAGATTTGATTTCAAAAGAAACAGAAGATAATCCTAAGAGTTTCCTCCAAGGATAAAATATGTCAAAAAGGATCTATAATCTGGTTCGAAAAGGGTGAATCTTTAATGTTTTCTGCTGGAAAACTCCTAAAATGTGAATACAAATGTCCACATAAAATATGGACCACTGAAGTCTGTAATCTCAGAATGCATGCACAATATATTCAGAAAGCTTTCATTATGCTCCAGTTATTCAATCCATTTAATAATCTATTAATATTTAATGATCTATTCATTACATTTCAGGAAACTTTTTACATTGTCTTATGTCTTAATTTAGTAAGTACAACAAATCAGATACAAATAGTGTCCTCCATCCTTTCTGGTATCCTGTTTCTGAAAGTGAAAATCAAAATACTTCAGTATGTAAAAATAACATGGTATTATCTTCATGCACTATAATATAACATTGTGCAGGTGAATACAAAAAACTCTTTATTGCAATTCCTAAAAATAATAATAAGCATGCAAAACTGCTGCATACCGATAACAAAAAATTGCTTCTTTCACCACCTCTTTATTTTGTATTATCTTGCTGTGCATTTGAAAAGCCTGGTAGCAAATCCACCATTAAAATTCCAACCACCTTTTGCATTTAAGCCTAAATTTGAGCCACCCAAATCAAATTTCACCCAAAAGCTACTTACCTAAACATTTAAAATGCATTTCCAGTCATAAGTTAATTATTTCCCTAC